ATTATAATATTAGTTGAATATTGATCAAATAGCATAGAAAAATAGAGCGAAAGATGCTCTATCTGTTCATTAAAAGAGAAATGTTTTTGAAGCGCTCCTTAAGAAAATAAAGTACTTCCCTCACTACTTTTGGATTGCCCTAAGTAAATAAATTGCATCTATGCGGCCTCATAAAGCCCACCCTCACGACAGCATGGCTTGATGATTATGCTGTTCGTCACGTCCTTCAAAGGTACTGTGTTCGAACCTCGGCGCTAGTAAGTCAACTCATAACCTCCGGCAAGTTACTTATGTCTTAATGCCTTGGACCACCCATCTGACAGTATACTCACTACGTTGGGATGTACAATACTCTTACCCGGCTAGTCCTCGTGGCTTTCCGGAAAGGTAGTACGTGGTTAGTGATGTGTATATGTGGAGCTCAAGTAATTTGGCGAAAGAACTCTATCTCAGGCTAGCCTTCTGGCCAGAGCTGCAACTGATGACTACGTATTAACGAGATGGATGACCATTTCAGAAGCTTATCAACTGCGGGGAAAATATCGGGCTATTGAAACTGCTACGGTAGCACCCTGCACCGGTAATGGTAGCCACAAGCTGGGGTACTCAGTCTTCTTCTTTTAATCACGATACAATAGCATAAGAGTCGATGAAATGATATTTGCGCGCAATTATTATTAATTAAATCCCAATTAACAAACTTGTAATTATAGATAGTACGTTCAATTCTACCGAATAAAAAATAAGCCGATAAAAACCCTTAAAGGAGGACCCATATCAGTTCTTTCAAAAGTTATGAATGTTTTTGTTCTAAAGGAACATTGTGTGTAGTAACAGTAATAATTCTGTAACCCAGTAAAAACAAAGACTTAAGAGGTGAAACAGACGAGTTGAGCGTTATATCTTCCTAAATTCGCTTCTTATTGAACTTTTCTTCTTGAAGGAAAACAATGTTTTCCCAAACCGCACAATCTTCGATGATAATATTTCTTTTTTATTACAGGTGATATTGCGTACATTGTTTCCTGCTGAAAACATTCTGGCACGAGAATCAAACAAAGAAGATAACCAGCTTTGTCACGTAAGTGCTTGTCGTTTGTGAGACAAAGGGAAACTAGAGAATCCTTGGTTAGAGAGTGAGCTTTTTTCCGGAAAGATAATGTGATTCTATGGGATATTATCATATCAGTTGGATCATTCGCCTATCAAACCTTCTGTTTTAGTTTTCAGCGCATCAAGCGCTACAGTATATGTTCACTATGCAGGATATCATATAACGATTAATTATTTAAAAGGAGAAACGATAAAGTTGTTCTGTTCTTTTTTAGGATGTTCTCTTGTTTTAGGAAAACACTATTCTCACTAAAAAACCTAAGTTCAATAACGCGCGAATTTAGCAAGATATAACGCAAAAAATTTTCTGTAATACGATATCCTCCGCTAAACAAACAGGTAAATGAAAAGCCATAAACTTAAGAATCAAACAAAAGAGTAAAAATTTGCCCGGTCGGATTCGCGTTAAGATGTTGTCGAATCGGATGGGGTTCACATTGGCATTCTGACAGTCGAGTCGGATTCGTGTTACGTTTTCTCAACACATGTAGGTCTCTAACACTGGATATCGTGTTTGATTGTTTTCGATATTAATGCCTATCGAGCAGGAACGCCCCGTAACAAGGCTCTAAAACGGGCCCATATAATTCTAAAAGTCTATCTAGTTCCTTGTATTAAGGCTTCAAGCCATCACTCACATTTCATTCGATTCACTGGAAGCCCAGCTTTAAAAATGTGTGTTCTTTTTTTGTTTTTTTTGTATATTTCTAAAGATTTTTTCGTATGTGAGACAGAGTTGTCCGTATGAGTACTAAAGGTATCAACTGTGTTGAACAAGACAGTTCTTCAGGTTTATATGGCGGATTATTCCAACGGTTAGCATTAGACAAGATAAAAACGCCGAATACCTCACAACCTCTTCAATTAGATTACTGTTGTCCGTCAGTTCAGGATCAACTAAAAGGACGAACATGTGACAAATGTGCTATCTATTTTCCGTCGAAAAGTGCCAAATTACTTCATAACAGAATGCACAAAAAACAACGCCTTAAACGTAAACCATTGCTTGAATCTGAATCAACAGATGCTGATGATTCAACAGCAGAAACAGAGCCAAATAGCACAGATGTGAAAATAAATCAAAATAATGAGTCAGTTGATGACGAATATGGCATCGAACTCATTACTGATCAACAGTCGTTGGCTGCACGTTAATTTTTAGAACAGTAATGCTCAATTACCAAATAAATAGCATCTTTTTCTTTTTTGACTGATTTTACAACGTTATACACATGTATAATGATTGTGTGTGAGAACAGGTACAGTACCTGATTTTATCCCTGTTGATATTACTTTAGTGATATACATATTGCCAGCGTTTTTTTTCTTTAGTAATCTCCTTTTTTTGAAAGATATGAACATTTCATTTGGTTTTGTATTGTTATATATGAGTTCATTAGTGGAATAAGGAGAATATTTGCGCAATAAAATTTGCTTGGATCGGACGTCTGCTTGAGGAAGGAGTTGTCAAAGCCAGACAAAGTCGGACAGAGGGAGGGTGGGGGTAAAAACCTCTTGCGTTCTGCCCGACATCCTTAAAGTATCACCCCTTTATTGATTCCTGATAAAAAGGCCAGTGGTCAAGTGACCATTGTAGGCCAAGCAATATATATGAAAGCAGTTAGTAAATATAGTGATATAATGACATAAAATAGAACAACAAAAATGGAATAACAGAGGTAGACAGGCTGCCGGTGGAGGCAGTATGGGCGCCATAAAGGAAAATGAGGAACAGTACACTGCTAGTTATTTACATCTGTTCGTTTGTTGAATATATGTAATGACCGCATGCAGTAAACATATTAGTGTGTCATCATCTAAATCCAAGCTGTTCAGCAGTAAAGTGTCCACTGTAAATGTGCTCAGAAAAGAGAGTTGCTGCACAAGTAGTTGCCTTTCAGTAGTATACAATCTACAGTAAAGAAAACAGCGGTCAATGTCTTCCTTATCATACCCGCAGCTACATTTAGGCGAATCAACACATTTATGTCGATGGAGATAATAGCTTAATGGCGGTAAATTTGATTTAATACGCATAAATACGACTTCGTCACGCCGCGTAGGGAACTTGAGTAGTTTCGGAAAAGCTCGCGTAGATACATACTCTGCTTTTAAAACGTCACGCATTTTTGATATTTTCATAGTTGAGAAACTTGCATCCTTCCGCAAACGATCATCCCACTCTAGAGCTGCAATAGTAAAAAAATCTTTATCCATGATATTTTACCGCCTCAATAATAGACATCTGTACTGAATGTTGGATTGACTAGTTTGCAGATCTGAAATTATGTAAAGAGGCGCTAAACCTTTTATGATTTTAGAGAAAGTTAGTAATCGAAGAATTTTGTAATGATTTTTTATAGAAACCCATCCTAATATTTAATCTGTGTTCTTTTTCTTTAATTTTATTTCTTTGCTGAGATAATTCATTTTTTCTAGATCACAGGGGAAACTCGTAATTCTCGGTTTACTTGATCAGAACTCAATTTTGGATGATCATAATGCGGATTGGTGTGCATAATATATTTGCGAATCCTCTATTATTTTTTGATTGATCACCATGTAGGTCTGTAAAGGAAACAATGCCTTTACTGAGTTTATTTGAAAATAGACTGAAATGTAAG